GCCATTGCTGAAGCAACATCAGTCCCCATTGCTGCTCTGCAAGTCTGAAATCTGTCAAAAGTAAGTATCCAACTCCATCTGACAGACATAACACACCTAGAACCAAACACAGCAAGCATTCCTGAACCAGGGAAATGCCCAATTTTGTTTCAGTCTTTCACCACACACAAGCCAGCGACAGAATTTTATCTGGTCATCATTTTCACTCTAAAACAGACACAGCCATGTTTGGCTCTAAGAGAAGACATGAAGCAAATCACAGATAATTAACAAAACATCAAGCATAAATCAAGTTGGTAATAGCAAGCACAGCAGATATTCAAATGCTTCTTTCAGAGACAATTTGGGCACGAAACAGTTAAACAACTTGCCCAAGATGAGCAGTAATCATTCAGGGTTAGAGCTTAGGACACAAGTTCCTGGCTCCCAGCCTTGGACCTGGACTATCAGACCTTTACATATCTTTGAATTACACCTGAAAGAACATTGCTAGAGCTGCTTGACTCTTCTCCTTCTGCTGAGCAATTAAACAAATTGACTGAATGAGTCCTGAAGTACAAACTCACTCCATTAGCAAGTGTGTAGTTTGCAGAGGCAGTTTAAACTCACAACACTCAGCTGCTCCAACTGCAGTTGCTATTGTGTCACATTCTGAAGAACAGCAAAAGAGTATAACCAACAAAATCTTTGTAATCCTTTTCTATAATTATGCTCATAAAAGAAGCTTCCACTAAGAAAACACCAGAGTATTTCTGGACAATTAAGTCTCACTCGTACTGAAACTGTGATGGCACAAAAGAAAGAGATCTGTATATTACAGACACTTTTGATAACCTGATCAGTGAACTTTCACAAACAAGCACTCTGCATTCTCCACCCCAGAAGACCTGTCGATGAAACTATGAAAATACAAAACTCAGTAGGGAGGAAAGCTATTTCAGAGAGGCAGCACACACCACAACAACCTTTGTCCTCATCCAACACACTGATAAATCACTAGAATCAATTAAAATTAAGGACCAGAGTTATAATGAAGCTGACACCGGTACTTCAATTTATAACCTGATTTCTGTGCTCAACTGTGATCAGGCCACAGCTTACAAGCAAGGGTAAATTCCATACATGCCAAGGGAACAGAGGCTACTTCTGTCCCTTGTTGTTTTGGTTTTTTAAGATTTTTTTAAGTTTTCTGATGTTGACATTCTTGTAGTGAACTTTTTCACACACTTTTTGTAAATAACTCATTGTTTTTCAATTTTTTATAGAAGAAGAGAGAGTTGATAGACTGTTAGTTTGACTTGTGTCATTGTAGAAGTGTCACTGTCACTTTCTAATCTACTGTCATTTTTGTAAAACTATAAATATTAGAGTCAGAGAATAAAACTTCCCTTTTTTCCCTTCACCTTGAGAGTGGTGGTGTGCTTGTGTTCTTTCGTGTCCGTCAGCGACAGCCCCTCACATTCACATTTTCAGTAGAAAAACTTTGCCACAGCAGTGACCCACGCAGGCCCCACATGCAAGCTCAGTGCCATCTTTGCCCAGGCTTCAGTGACACAATTTCCCCTCCCCTTCCCCTTCCATGTCACATCCATCCATCACACAGTGGTTGGAAAGCCAGAAAATTAAAGACTGTGTATCAGAGTTCATGTTTCAGCCACCAAAGCCACCAAATATTGACTTTGTAACAACTAGCCAGCCTAGTGCAAGTATCTAAAGAACTCCAGGTGATACATGTGATGGGAAGGCTGGAGGTCAGCTCTGGCCTGATCCATACTGGAAGCTACAGAATAGCATTTTTGACAGGCTTTTTAAAGTTGGTACAACTGTTACTGTATTCAAAGTGTTACTGTCCAAAATGTTATTCTCCACGGGCCTGTTTTATAGACAAATCACTGGAGGGAGACCACTGGGTTTGTATCCCATTGATTAATGCAATTAAATGATCTCGTTTTCCTGGTTATCTCTGCTTTGGTTTCGTTCAGGACAGCTTTCCAATGTAAATATTGCAACACTAAGTAACCAAGAGAAGGAAAACAGAAAGTAAAACTCCCAATTATTTCCATTTGTTTTCAGTGAAAGTTCAGCATTCCACAACAAACTGCTGTTTAGATTTTGAGCTCTGTAGCCGTTCCAAACTCAGGCCTCGCACACAACCTGGTGCCATGCTCAGCACAGGTGTGACTGCAGTGCAGACCTGTTCTCTGGCAGCCCACAGTGCTCACAGAGTCATTGCAGCTCCAGACAGGAAGATTTCCTTTAGCTTTCACTGCGGGCCTGCCCCAAGAGAGCAGAAGGAAAGGCAGGGAACAATAAAGGTCCTCAGACTGCACTCGGACCCACCATCAATTTGGCATTGGATATTCCAACAGACCAGAAGCTGCTGCTGCAGTTGGTGCAAGAACCACACAAGGCTCTGTTGCAGTGTGTTGTAATGTCCTGTTTTAAACTTCCGGGTCCCTTCCCAGGTGTGCCAATGCCCCTCTTCCCCTTCCCCCCTCGCCCCCTGCTGGGCTGTCAATCACTTTTGACATTCCAGCAAGGCCTCCTGTGGTTCATCACGTTCAAAGGACGCCCCTCAGGCCCGGGGGTCATTGGCCTGTCTGGGTGCCATCCTCCCCTGAGACCCTGCCCCTCTCACCTGGTTGGGTGGCTCACCTGTCCCCTCCCCTCCCCCTGCCCCAGGAGCTTAAAAAGGTGATCAGACCATGTGCTCGGGATTCTGTTGGAGCTGTTGCTCACATTCAGACCTGTGTGACCATGGAATAAACCTCTGGATATAAACCCTCCAGCAGAATCCATCTCCTTTGTCTTCACCATCGCCTGAAGCCTTCCTCCTGAGGTAAACGGAGTTCCTACCAAGCCTGGACTTGTTCAGTGCCCAGCTGCAACCTCCAGCAAGCTAAAGGTGTCTCTGGGGTGACACACCACAGCTGCTGCCTTTGGCCCAGCAGCGAGGGTCAGACTGGCCCAGGCACAATCTAACTGGTAATACTGGGATTCATATTCCAATAAGGCTCCATGTCTGTGTGAACTGAACCATGAAGTGAACCTTAAAGCCAGAAATATTGCTAGGAAATGGGAAAATGCAACCATCCTGATACATAATGCTTCCAACAGAATTCCAGCGAGACACTGTGATGTACAACCAGAAATCAACACACACAACTGCTTTCACCAACTTTCAGCAGGGATTGTGGGGGCCACACACACAGGTACGGGAGAATTTCAGCTCCACACACCAATTACAGCCAAGCACAACATCAGCAATACTTGGGATCTCTCCCTGGGCAGCTCAGTTCCACAGCACCTTGCAGTGTAATACACTTCAGACCTCAAGACTCATCCTAAGTCAGGTATAGCTGACAATGAAACAAAATTTCTTTTCACTCTTTGGGTCACAGAATCAGAAGGCTACACTGTCTACAAACCAAAAATGGGACATTGTTACAGTGTTTGGGAAACCAAACTGCCTGGCCTGCTGAAACTGCAGCCAGTTCATTCTCTCAAAGGCTTCCCAGAAGTCCAGCCCAGGATTGCAGCAGTGCCCAGGGCAGCCCCCAGCCTGGCACAGGCACAGGGCTGGTAAGGCACCTTTGCTAACACACTGAGGGCAACACTTCAAAACAGCTCAGTCTGTCCTTCCTTCCTATTTCCTCACTTCTGCATTTCCAGATCCCTGTAAAGGCTGTTTTCTATGCCTATATGTAAGTACATTACTACTAGAAGCATATCAACATCTATCTTAATGAAGAATTATTTGCAAGCACCACAACTTCACCAGAACCACAACTTCTGCTATACTTGCACTTATTAAGGATTTTGTTTGATATGTAAATAAAACAAAGGTTACAGAATTTTAAATCTGTCAGGGGAAAAGTTATACCACATTTAACAGTAGTTTTGAGTTCAAGCTTTAAAACCTACTTGCTGAAGAATTTAAAATAAAACTTGAAATTGTTACAGATTTCTCATTTCCAAAAAACATAATCCAGCTTGCAAACAACAGAAGCCTCAGTGCATCGTTTGCCACATGCTGCATCTAATAAATAAAAACAATTCAGTTCTATTTATACCCTCATTTTCTTTTGGCCTTTGGAAGCTACTCTGAACCACACGTCAAGCAGAGAAATAGTGGAAACTGTAGTTACTGCTTTTCTAAATATAACATTCATCTCACTTGTATGCCAGAGCATTCAAGATATGCAATAAAAAGAAAAAAACCCAGGAATTACATAAGTGACAAGGCCAACTGCTTGCAAAAGACAACTTTTAACTCATGAACTTAAAGGCAGCTTGGTGCCAACAGGACTTTATGGCCAAAGAAATTCGTAAGATTTTTCCTCGAGAACAATCACAGCAGAGAAAAGCACTATTCCTCCAATGATCCCAAATCCAAGGGAAAAAAAAATTAAAAAAAAATCAAACAGTGCAGTTTTTGCACTGAAATTCAGAGGCAGCCATCTTAGTGGAACATGACACTTGTCACTGCCAGCTTGGAAAAGTTTCAGACAATTTCCAGTATTATTTCAAAGCCAAAGCTGCTCCTCATGTATTAAGCAGGCATGCACAAATATTCAGATTTCTTCTGCCTCTTGTTAATAGGAGCTAGAAAGATTGGGGTAATTACTTCATCTAGTACTTAGATCTTCAAAGAGCACAAATATTAATTCTAACAACACCTCCTTGTGGAATTAAAGTATCACATACCCCATTTTGCAGATTAAGAAAAAACACAAATCAAAAGCCAAAAAATCTGAAAAATATTAACAATCTCAGAAAACAATTCCAGCAAAAAAACAGTTAGGAAGCCTGAACTTTTTTACAAGAGTGTTGAACGATACTTTCAAAGCCCAGTTTAAAGCTGAATCTGGATATGTGAATGCACAGGAAATTCCCTTTGCTTTGCTCAACGTGCACTCAGCAGCACTGGGATACATCCACATCTCCCCACCTAAGAAATGGTTAAAAAGTCAGAAAACAGTAAAAAATATGACTCTTACCTTCTGCTACATCATCATCTACAGCGCCTTTCACCTGAGAAAAACACCACTGAATGTCATTTCCTCCTCCAGCTCCTAAAAAAATGAAAACAATTCAATAAAGCGAGCCCCCCCAAGAGCAGCAGCACAAGCACACAATGGTTGCAGATTGCACATTTCAGAGCCTGTGCACGCCCACTTCCTCAGCAGGGCTGAGGCACAATCACACACCACCCTCCCCACCTTTTTCCTTTGGATATTGTTTTTGTCAGCCTTCAATGCAGGGTTTGTCAAAAACAGGGAAGCACAAGCAGAGTAAAAGCTTCGCTCAACCAAAGCTCGCTGGACTAAGCAACATGAACTCTGAATTTAAAATATCGGCTGCGTTTCACACAAAGCTTTGAGCAGTCAGAACCCCCCAAACGCACACACAAACAGCTTAAATAGAAACTCTCAGAGCTGTGCTTTTTCAGAAAAGTTCAATCTCCCAGCAAATACAAACCAAGCACACAATTCATCTCCTCCTTTCACTAACCCACTGCGCCGACCCTATGCACTTAAGGCTAAAGAAAAAGAATTTTACCACAATTTTAGAGTTTCTTCGCAGAAGTAATGAAAGCAATTAGCAGCCTAAAAAAAAAAGCAGCAAATCCGAGCAGAAAAGCAAACAAGCAATCGGAGGAGGACAAGTTCTACTACCGTAGAAAACGGATCGGAGAGAAAACTTCAGGAACATTACTGCCTCGGCTGAAGGCAGTGATTCATTTGAACCGTGCCACCAAAACACACACCAAAAATCACCACCCATTTCTTTTGCATTTCATTCTGAGCAAATCACTGCAGGGCTGAGGACATACAGGAAGAGCCAGAAATGGGCTTGCCTCAGTTGTTTTTTTTTTTCTTTTTTTTTTTTTCCTCCAAAAGCCACTGTCAAAATGGAACTTTTCCTCCACACAACTCAAACCGGCTGAGCAACAGATGGCATTTACACATTAATCCCGAGCTCTGGTAGGGCTTTGGAGATAACAAAGAATACAGGAGGAGACTCTTCCCAAGTTAAGGGAGTCAAAAAAACTCAAAGAGAAAGAAATCAGAAGCCTGAAAATAATCTTTCCAGAAAAGATGAAGCGTCTCAGAATAAGAAGTCCTGGAATAGAGTTTGCATTTTTCGCTTGCTTTAAATTCTTCCCTGAAGGATTACATCCAGCTGCATAACCTGAGGAGGTGAAGGCAAGCAACAGAACCAAGTTATGCAGGAGATGGCAAAATGCTTTCCCTCCCCCATCATTCCCCCAAAATCCTACAACACATTCTCTTCTCTTCAACTTCTTCATTTGTCATTTAGCAGCCAGCACCACAGCAGCACTTAAAGGGAACAGCTTGGAGAGAATCACTGCTCCTGCTACTTCGAGCTCGAGTCCTCTTTTCCATACAATTTACTTGAACTAAGTTGGCACTTCTTTCCCCCCACGACTAAAACGGCAAGAGGAGGGTGGAGCATGTGCATATGGTGTAGGGGGGAAAGGCAAAGCACAAGCCTCACAAAGCCTCCTATGCTTTGCTCCTCCACATGCAAAGCACTGAAAAGACAATTCATGTGCAGAGGAGGGGGATGAATAAATTTCCAAATGAAGAAATTGCAAGGAAAAGTAAGAGGGAAGAGATCCGTTCTGCACACACACTCCCAAGCCTACCAACTTCGGGATGTGAAATGGGGAGCAAGCAGTGGAAGGAATGGGAAAGAAAACACAGCGAGACCTGTGCTGTTTAATTACGCCCTGTGCCAAATTTTACAGGCATTTGCAGATGCTCAGAGGCTGCTCCCTACAGAAGGGTGCGACTGCAATCTGGACACCGCCTGCACCTGGAACCTCTCCGTGCACGGCAGCACTTCTGAGAAATAACCACAAGCACCGACCCCAAAGCCCCAAGGGGGAAACTCTTCACCAGAGCGTGTAGTGACAGCACAGGGGGGGAATGGGCTCAGACTCAAAGAGTAGGTTGAGCTGGGATATTGCAAAGTAATTCTTCTCCATGAGGGTGGGCAGGCCCTGGCACAGGGTGCCCAGAGCAGCTGTGGCTGCCCCTGGATCCCTGGAAGTGTCTAAGGCCAGGCTGGACGGGGCTTGGAGCACCCTGGGACAGCGGAAGGTGTCCCTGCCCATGCCAGGGTGTGGAACTGGACGGGTTTTAAGGTCCCTTCGCACCCAAATCATTCCATGATTCCACGAAAAGGCAGCAGACCCACCCTGCCTGCAAGCTCTTCAACTCCAAAACACACCACTTCCCGCTCCACCTTGCTTCTTCCATGCTTTTTTTTTTCCCCCCCCGAGAACGGAGAGAAGGAGGGGCGGGTGGGAGCAAAGCACGAATTCCCACAAGAGAGGATAAAAAACCCACCCCACAACCAGCAAGGCGCAAGCGAGGCGGAATAGGAGAGGCGGCCGGGAGCCAAGGAGGCAGCGGGGAGAGCCCCCCGAGCCACGCCGGGGCAGGGGGGGCAGGCTGCCCTTACCTGCCATGTTGTGCTGGCGATAGCGGCCGCGGCGGGTCGGGCGGAGCGGGCTGCGCGGGCGGGGCGGGCGGCGCGGGGCGGGCGGCGGCGGCGGGCGGCGATGGCGGCGGATGGAGGAGGCGGCGGCGGCGCGGCCGCGGCGGGGCTGGGGCGGCCCCGCTCCGGCCCCCCCGGCGGTGAGCGTCCAAAATGGCGCCGGCAGAGCTGGGGGTGACGTCAGCGTGGGGCGGGAGCGAGCCGCCCTCAGGAGGGCGGGCGGCGCCACCATGTTCCTGCCCAGCTCCTGTCAGCCCTCATGGCGGGGGTGCCGTTGCTCAGCTCGGCATCGATCGGCCGCCCTCAGCCCGGCTCCACCTGCCCTCTTGGCGGGGCTGCCGCCCCTCAGCCTAGCATCGACAATCCCCATGGCGAGGCTCCGTCGCTCATGGCGGGGGCTGCCGACCCCCGCTCAGCTCGGCCCTTGCCCGCCCTCATGGAGGGGTTGCCGCCCCTCAGCCTGGCATCGATCTGCCGCCTTCATGGCGGCGCTCCGTCCCTCAGCTCGGCCCCAGCCCGCTGTCACGGAGGTGCTGCCGCCCCTCGGCCCGCCATCGCCCGCTCTCAGCCCCTCCGCGCTGCGGTGTCCGCCCCCGCTGCCCCCCGGACTCCCCTGCAGGAAGCGCTTCCTTCCTTGACCCCTCTCCCGCAGGCTCGCCCTTCATGAAGCCGAGTATCCAGAGTTGGAAAGGACCCACCGGGATCATCGATCCAGCTCCTGGCCCTGCACAGACACCACAAAATCCCGCCCTGTGCATCCCTGGCAGCGTTTGCTCAAATGCAAACGGCCTTGGGGCCGTGCCCATTCCCCGAGTACCTCTTCAGTGCCCCTGTTCAGTAGCCACCGCCCTCGGGGGCAAGAACATTACCCTGATAATCCCTTCGTGTCTCTTAGAGCATCTCCCTTTCACTTGTCCTTTGGTTTTGTGGTTTGTTTTGTTGGTTTTTTTCTCCCCCCTCCCTTTTGCTCCCTTCTGCCATTTCCCCGTGCAGCAGCCACACATAACCTGTTTGCTTGTGCATTTTCCACCCCCTTGGATGCTTTCCACAATGTCCAGGGCTCAGTCTCTGATTTCACTCCGTTCTCATTGCTATTCCCTGCATACACCAGCCATGCTCCCGAGCCATTTTTAGCCTCCATCCACCTTTCACACTGAGAGCCAGCAAGATCCACAAAGAAAGGCTTTCAGCCGAGCCCAGCTTGGCTCAGCTCCTGCTGGCTCGGGAAGGATGGAGGCTCCTTTTTAGCTTGCTGGGTCCCAGTTACAGTCTCGTGTGTAGTTAACTACAGGACTGGGATAATTAATTCAGTACAATCTATTTAAGATCTTGTGAAAGTCATCAGTTTCCCTTAAAAGATGTTTGTGCAAACATTTTCTTCTTGGGCTGGGTAGATCTTGCTAATCCAGATTTCACTTGGAGATTCATAAGCTCATTCTGCAAACCCAGTGCTGCCACAAACTTGAAATGTGACTTGGAACAAGCCTCCAAAACCATCCCATACACTGATTTCTGCATTTCCAGGTCTAAATACCTAAGAGGATGCTTTTATAAATGAAAAAATTTTTGAATTGCTTGTCAAGTCTAGCATGAAACAGAGCTGTGGGAACTGAATGCCACTGATGAGCACAAATAGACAAACCTCCACCAGAAACCCACAACTGGCCCAAATTACAAGTTATTTTGGAATTCAAATTTGTCTCTGCATCCCCAGTAAAAAAATTGCACTGGCAAATAAATCAATCTTGGAAAGAACAATAACATTTGAAAGAACACTCAGCATGTATGGGATGTTCTAAAGAATTGCGACTTACCTAAGTTTGGAAATCTCCAAAACCAAGGGTTTTCCTTAGATTGTTTTGAGAGCAACCCAAAAACCTAAAAACAAAAGCACTGCATGTTTGGAAAAAATCACAACAAAGACAAACGCCCTCATCCCAAACATCTCAGTCCACATTTCCCTGAGCTCAAGAGAAAATTCAATTCTACAAATGTGTGGCTATGTTTACTTGATACCAAATCCTGCATGAAAGCTGGCATTCCTCTCTTTTCAGAATTCCTTAAATTCTGAATTTAAATAATAAATTAAATTAATTCTTTAAACATACTCTTTTCAACCTAAGCAGAATTGTCCTGCAACTGTTTAGCAGGAAAATTTGTAAATCTAGTCCAATTCATCCACTGCCTTCTGTATAATTACTGCAGAATTTATCCTCATAGTGGAATAAGCATTGGTTTAAGAACTTTTGTTGCTAAAAAAATTTAAATAAGGAAAAGAGACCTGCAATTAGCTCTGTAATAGAAACTAATGAAGCCTTAGTACAAAGCTTATAATTAAAATAAAATTTCTCTTAGAAAAGATTTAATATCATGGTGCTAGGACGATGGATTTGAACTCCAATATTTCAGGGTTTTGTTGTGAGCTAACTGAGCTAGAGAAAATAATGGAGTGTAATAAATAAATAACATTAAATCACAGCCAGAGCAATTAGCAAGACATCTTGGAAACCACAACCTTTGCCTGGGTGTTCACTTGCTTGGTATTTCAGAGCTCTCACACTATGAATGGTTGGTGCAAATTAGGCAGATTGTGTTCCATAGCCCCGATTCAAAGTTTGTGAGCACAGACTCGCATTTCTCTGGAGCTTGAGCATTTGTTGAGGTGCTCTGGGGGGATTGTAACTGTATGATGTTAAATTTATACACAGCCACCAACAGCACAGAGCTTTAATGAGCATTTGTGTACCTTTAATGACTAATTCTTACTCTACACACAAACTCCTTCAGCTGAGACTGAAGAACACCTCTGGGAAGTGGGAGGGACTTACAGGAACAAGGACTCACAAAACGGCATTTCTGGATCTGTTTGCTGTGATATTTGTCAGAAAACTACATAAAGAATGGTCAGTTCACAGCAGCCTAGACCAGGAACTGTGGAAGTTAAAATAACCTAAAAATCAAAGTGTAATGTGACCAGCAACCAATAAAAATACATAATAATGTAAAATGACTGATCAAACAACTGGGGCTCCAAAGAAGAGCACAATCAGCAACTCATTTTGTATCTGCTTTAGTTTTCCAGTAATTTGACCTGTTAGACAAGACTATAATGAATTACAACAATTCAGTTTAGAAATAAAGGGAACAATTATCACCAGAATTATCATTGGAATTTAGTAATAGCAGAGCCATCTGAGGCCACGTGCACGTTAACATCAGGGCAGTGTAATTCCCTGCTCTCTGTACTTTATTCTGTTCAGCTTCAAGTGTCTCACTGAGAGGTTTCCATTGTGTTTTTGCAGAACATTTCAGAGAAGAACAGCCTTAACTCCTAGAAAATATTTGTTAATGTTCACCCCCCATTTCCCACTCTTAATTTCACATAAACAGCTATTACCAAACCAGCACTGAGTCACATCTTGGTGCTGCTGCCGGAAAGCTGAACAAAAGGTCAGGCAGACCCTGCTTCTGCAATGAGTCTCAAGGAAAATTACCTGTGGGACAAGTCCCAACCCATCCACTCTCTTCACCTCTTACACCAAGCTGGCTCAGGCAGCTGGGTCCCTGCTGCTGCTTTTGGTGCCAGCTGCCAGCCCAGGGCCTCTTCTACGGGCACACACAATTCCATTTGCTTTTTCTGGCTTTGCTCAGCCCGATTTCACCTTAACCAGGTTCCATCTGCAAACTGTCAACTGCCAGTGGCCACAATTTTTCAGCTAAAAGCTAAAATAAAGGTTTAAGCGTTTCCAGTTCCTGCCACACTGTGTCCTAAACCTAAACACTACAAAGATATTTCTTGTGCTCTGTATCACTGGGGCACTTCCAAAGTCACTGGGCTTTATTTTTGGAAAGGGAAATGTTGAAATTAAAGTTTCTTACATGACTGAGCATCTGTACTGTTGGAGGAAAGCATGGAATGCTTTGGGATGAAGGGCACCTTAATGGCCATCTACATCCATCCCCTGGGCATAAAATATCTTCTGATCAGTCACTAGGCAGTTTAGTTTAAGTCTTATCAATGATAAAAAGTGGAAGAGGATAATACATATCTTGCAGTTCACTTTACAGCTGCCAGGAATTTTTTAGTGACCCGGTTCCCAGAAAACCCAGTGTAACAACCACCCAATGGTTCTGGAATTGAGTGCTCCAAACTACTCCTCACTGAGCAAACCTCTGCCATGGAAACTCCTGGTAACAAGCACTTTGTGTCATCCCAAAATTGTAAAATTTATTGGATTAAAGCCCTGCTATTACAAGAACCCTCAGCATTTTTTTTTCCATAAATTATTAAGACTTTTATTCTTAACTTTAGCCTGATACAAGTAAACAGAAGAGGCAATTAGGCTTGGAAAAACAATTCATATGTTCATTATAGTAGTAGTTTGCAAGACAGGTTTAAAACCAGTTTCAAATTTGATCTGTTTAGAGCAGGGCTAAGACACTGTACTGAAACTACAATTTGCAACACATTACTTTAATTGATTATTTAAGCACATTTTGTAGAGGATTCATGCACCTGAATTTTATTTTAAAACAAATGCAAAAATACAGGGAAAGATAAGGGGAAACAAATCTCCTAGAAAAGAAGGGAACAGGTGTTAGAGGTAGTTAGGAAGCACCTGTCTGGAGGGAAGAAAACAACTATTTTTCAACTTGGAGAGCTTGTTGGTGATGAGAGGAGTGTCCCAGTATTTCAGAATTAAAAATTAAGAGAAGAGGGGTAAATTGAGGTTTATAGAAAATTTTCATTCCTATTTCTGTTTATTTTACTATTGGGTTTTTTGTTTGTTTGTTTTGGTTTTGTGTTTTGGGTTTTTTTACAAGCTGTAGTACTGTGGAAAGATGAGTCCAACCGAAAAATAAGAGAACTGATATGGCATGCTAATAATCCTATTAAAACTAAGAGTGGAGCCATAGGAGAAGATAAAAAGTTCACAAGGTATATGTTTAACCCTCCCTAAAAAAGAGGTAACTACAATTAAATGTTTGGTTCAGGATAACCTGGCACTTGGAGTCTTCCAACTCAGGATAATTTGGACA